GACGCCCATTTGCGAGCGCACGTAGGGGGGCGTGGCGAGCCAGGCAAGCATTGCCCGTCCTGGAGCGTGCGGAGGGTTCCGCGCCGGGTGGCGCCAGCGGGAGTTAACGTTAGCCATGGAAACGCGGAGCCGGCCTTGGCGCGCCCGAGGTGAGCTGGTTGCCTGGCAGCCACAGCTTCTCGGCCTCTGCGTCGGTACCTGGAGCAGCCTCCCTGCAGGAGCGCCCAACCCGGGTTTACCTGCAAAAGCGCAGTCCATGGGATGCCTTCGCTTCGCCTCTTCCCTCGGCTGACTCGAGGTAGGTTGGATCCCCGACACCCACCTAGAGACTTCTTGGTCGCTTTACTTTCCAAGCTTGTGCAGAGCCACGTTGTTCTTGCAAGTTTAATTGCGACAGATTTCTCGTTCTTCATTATAAAACCTTTAAGTGCAATTAATTGCACTTGGTAAGACGTGAGATGAACTCTGTCGCTAGAGGTATATATCATCAGTCCGGTGGGGTTTTAACTTTTCTTTTGAAAGACTGTTTAAGCCCGTTGACGTACAGCATTTTGTTTCTAAGAGACACTTGTGATATGGAAAATGGCCTTTTGAGTCTTGATTCAGGGATGGCTTGTTACCCCCAATAAAGTTCACAAGCTGTGCTCCTTAGTACGGTACTTTTTCTCTCATGTCCAGCTAAACCACTTTTGTCCCAAATTGATCAACTCATGGCTCCCAGAATGAGTAACTCTTTACCCACTGATCTGCTCCCTTTCTCCACAACTCTGTCGAGGATCAGCGTTTACTTCTATGATGTCTACTCCGTCAGAAGTTATCAGGCCTATGAATTTGTTATCTGCTTTATTATTACTTTTCTTCTTTAGCTGCATTTAGGGCAAAGCCAGCCATTATATTATTGGGTATCCTCTGCCACCCATACTAAATCCCCAAACCTTTATCATAGCATCCAACCAGATGCCAAGTTCAGATACTGCCATTTCGGTAATTTACATGCTACTCTTAAATTTCTGACTTAAAGACCTGCCTACTAGTTAACTGCCACAGAAAATACCAGGTTGGGACATTTTCTGTTTCTCTTTTGTAATATTAATATAAGATAATATTGAATGTCAACTATGATTGAAAAGTAAAAAAAGAACATTTCATAAAATTCACCCATTAAAAATGTAGGATTCAGTGGTTTTTAGTATAGTCACATAACTGTGCAACCTTTACTACTGTACAGTCAATTTTAGAACATTGTCATCACCCTAAAAAGAAGCCCTGTACTTTTTAGTAATCACTCAACTCTGCTGTTTCATCTCACTATCCCCACCAGCCGTAGGCAAACACTAATCTATTTTCTGCCTGTATAGATTCCCTTATTCTGGACATTTTAAATAAATGGATTCATACAGTATATGTAGTCCTTTGTGATTGGCTTCTTCCACTTAGCATTCTGTTTTCATGGCATCTGTGTTGTAGCATGTATCAGTACTTTTTTCTTGTTTATAGCCTAATGGTGTTCCATTGTAGGCTACACATTTATTTCATCCATTGGTGGACATTTGGTTGTTTCCATATTGTGGCTGTTAATATTTCTGCCATGAAGGTCCATGCACAAATTTTTATGTAGACTTATGTTTTTATTTCTCTTGGGTAAATACCTAGGAATGGGATTGCTAGGTCATATGGTCACTCTATGTTTAACCTTTTGAGGAACTGCCAGACTGTTTTCCAAAGAAGCTACACCATTTTACATTACCATGTGAAGGTTCTCATTTCCCTTCAACCTCACCAATACTTCTTATTGTCTGTCTTTTTGATAGCCAGTCAAGAGTATTGAAGAATTATCTCCTTGTGGTTTTGGTTTGCATTTCCCTAATGAATAATGATGTTGAGCACTGTTTCATGTGTTTATTGGCCATTTGTATATTATCTTTGGAGAAATGTCTAGTCATATCTTTTGCCTAGTTTTAAATTGAGTTATTTGGGTTTTTATTATCGAGTAATAGGAGTTCTTTATATATCTCAGATACAAGTCCATTATTATATATATGATTTGCAAACATGTTTCCCATTCTGTGGGTGTTTTCATGTAGTTGGTGGTGAAAACCTTTTCTTTTAGACACTTTCCCACCTTATCAAGGAATCCTGTATGCCAGTGCCTTCATTCTGGCTTAGCTAACAAAACTTTCCTATTTTGACATTCTATAGATACCTCTCAGGCCCACCTTTCCCTGAAAACCCTTTCTTTTATTCTTTTATTTCTCTATATCCTCAAAATTCCCCTTCATTTGGCAGTAGTTTGGAATGATTGAAAAACTCAGTCTGCCACCAGTTGACATTGTGTTGGTTAAGTCACTTCATGTCACTGGTTCCCTTTTCTGTAAAATTGATTTATTTCGGGTAATGCATGTGAGTGGTATTCAGTTTATTCACTTGATACTTGATTTTGAAAGAAAAGCATGTTAACCCATTTGAATTTATAGTGGGTAAGATGTGTGAGGTTTGGGAAGGCTAGACTGGGATATGAGTAGAAGTATTGGCTTGCCCTACTGCATATTTATGATATTCTGATGTGAACTTTGGCTATTTCCTACTATCTTAGTTTTCCATAAGTAATAGAATGCTATCAGCTCATATTCCACTGTTGTACACATATGGAGGGTGAATCCTAGAACCGAATGATGAGTTCAAAGGTGGAACTCATCATTCCACCTTTGAAGCATTGCCAATACCTGCAATAAATAGATCCCTTGAGGGATCTATCACCTTTCCCATCCAGTAATAGTTTTCTCTACAAACCAGTTTCTGTGAATGTACAGAAAACTCTTAGATTCGAAGACCCACCAAAATCTTGAATTTGAATAAATACCATTTTATAGATCCAAAGAGATGCTAATGTTCTTGTTCTTTCTGTTTAAGACTCTTTTTAGATGCTTGGGTAGATTTTCCTTTCATTGGTGGGGGGAGGACGGTGCTTGCTACATAATTGATAAACTATAACATGTAATGTATTTTTCATGTTTAAGACCAAATGTCTTTCAAAGGGCTCTTCAAGAATTAGCTGTTTGTCCATGGTGTGGCATTTAGTTAAGACCTCATAGAGTATTTTCAGAATCATTAGAGGTAGCTATCTTTGCATCTCTAGATTTCTGCTGGTACCCTCAGCAGTTAGCACTTGGCTATCAACAAAGTCCACCTGGCATACTTTTTAGAATTGCTCTGGTAGTAACAGGTGATTTTTATCCAGAGCAACTGAAAATTGTTTCATGTCTTGCTTTTGAGTACTTAGGTGCAGTTTATTTTTGTTTCTTTTCTAGACATGAAGGTTTTTTTGTTTGTTTTCCAAGTTAGTAAAGGTGGTGACGCTTGGAAAATACATATACATACCGGTAATGAATATTCTCAGAGATATAGACCATATTCATGAAACAATAATAGGATTCTATGAAAAGGGACATCCAGGGATTAAAGAAGTGCTCTTAGAAATTAAAAATATGAAAGAAGAATTTATTAAAATTTGACAAGTATATTCAATGATAGTAAGTTTCTTGAAAGTACAACAAAAAATATAGTTGAGGCACAGTGCAGAAGGGCTCAGTAAATAAATATGTGTGTGTTCAATATAATCTCTCACCTTTTAGGATGGCTATGACTTTTTTAAAAAGTTAAATGTTGGCAAGGATGTGGAGAAATACACTGTTGGTGTGGATTGCAAAGTGGTGCATTCACTATGGAAAACAGTATGGAGGGTCCTCAAAAAATTAAAAATAAAACTATCATATGATCCAGCAATTCCACTTCTGGGTATTTATCCAAAAGAATGGAAATCAGGATCTCAAAGAGATATTTGCACCCCCATGTTTATTGCAGCATGATTTATAATAGCCAAAAAGTGGAAGCAAACAACAAATGGAGAAAGAAAATGTGGTATATACATACAGTGGAATATTATTCAGCCCTAAACAAGGACACCCTGCCATATGTGACAACATTAATGAGCCTTGAAGACATTATGGTAAGTGAAGTAAGCCAGTCACAGAAGGGCAAATGCATGATTCCACTTATATGAGATATCTAAAATCGTCAAACTCCTAGAAACAGTAGAATGATGGTTGCCAGGAGATTGGAGAAGGAAAAAATGGAGAATTACTGTTTAATAAATATAAAGTTTTAGTTACACAAGATGAATTAGTTCTAGAGATCTACTGTACAACATTGTGTTGCTGGTTAACAGTATTGTATATTTGAAAATTTATTAAGAGAGTAGGTCTCATGTTAGATGTTCTCGCCATTAAAAAAAAAAAAAACAACCCAAATCTCATAGAATAGGAAAAAAAAAAAGGTATAGATTCAATGAATGACATCAGTCAATAAAAATATACGATAGATTTTTTTTTTAAGTAACCTTTGTTAAATGAAAATCAGACAATTGTTAAAACTATTTCTAGGAATTCTGTTTGCCAACTTAGCTATAAATATAGTATAATCCCAAAAAACTGCCACTTTTTGTTATCTCTTTCCTTGTTTCAAGGTATTTTCAACGTGGTGCCTTGCATGATTGCTGAGTTAAAGTTTCGATGACTAAGAATTTCCTCCTAATACATTGCCAAATTGATCTTTGTTTCCTATCTTTCTGGATAATGCATAAGAAACATGACTCAGATTCCAAATAAAGCAACATTTCTTTGGCTGTTTTGTTTTCCCACTTTCAGAGAAACATATGAAGAAAACATATGGCCTAAATTGGTATTGTGATGCCATCTTTATCCCTTAATTTCTCTTTTCTCAGCTCCTGCCCTCCACCCCCCACACACTAGCCTTGAGCTATTTTTCATTTTGCCCAGTCAGAGGTAGCAGCCATATAAATGCATCAATCTGTTTGGGAATTAACAGTCTTACAAAGGGTATGCAAATTCTCATTCAGGGATTAAATTTCAATTATTCTGATTTTATTTTCCATGATAGTAACCCAGATAAGGATTTAGATCTCTCTGTGTCACTTCCTACAAAGAGAATATTTTAAAAATATTCCAGGATCTGTAATTAAAGTTAGACAATATCAAATTATCATAAATCTTGCCTTAATGAATTTCCAGTATCTAATATCCTTCAGATATTAGAAAAAATACCCATACTTTAAAACACTCTTTTAGCAACCTGATATACATGCTACCTGTCATATTTCTCTCATAATTTTTTTCCTTGTGTACCCTTGTTCATGACATTTCTTCTTGACTGGTATACATTTTTAATTCTCCTTGGCTTTGCTAACTCTTAAAGGTCCTGATTGAAGCTCAGACCAATATT